TTTTTTTTTTTTTGGGGGGGGGGGGGGAGGGAAATTGATATTGTTTAATTGAAAATAGATTTTCGTATATTAAATGTAAAGAACGCTCAATTGATTGTACAAGCGCATTAATGTTTGCCTTAAGCGGATAAAAATTGAGCGATACAGTCATTTGACACTAGTCAGCGGGTACAGTTATCTGGCAGCTATCCATAACATGGATGACCACTATCAAGTTAAACACAGATTTTATAAGCCTTGGACACCTAGCTAGTAATGCCATGTCAATACAAGAAAATCTTGCCCGCTTAGCAGCCAATCAGAGTGGGCGTACTATTGTAGCCATCAGGAGCCTATGGTCGTAGACTCCTGTAACCACTACTGTACTACTGTAGTAATGGCCGCCGCAAGCTACCACCCACGAATCTTAAGTCCCAAATATGGGCAGACGGGTAACGTGAAACCGTTAATCGTAAACCGCAGTTTGTCGTTTGCCGTAAAATGACAACACCTCGATCTTAAGGTCTCTTATAACAGCCTACCAAACCAGGAAATTATTGGCATCCAGAACGATACCCGCTTGAGAGTGCAAACCCCGAAGGGAAAAGAAAGACTCGAATAGTAAGATGGTTCCAACGTAATTCTTTTAATTAGTGAAAGTCATCGGCCATCTGCTGGTGTCAATTAATTCTCTTTTCATTCTGCTTGCAATCCTGAAGGTGATGCAAACGTGCAAGCTCACTGAAAGATGACGTGACCAGAAGACCACAGACAACAATTTGTCTGTAGATTAAAAACGGAACAGTAAGCCAAGCCAACGCTTGCCATAAACTGAATGAGAGTCCAACCAAAGACACTGGAAATATTAAAAATAAAAGGAATAAACAAGTCAGCTCAGACCTACAAGATCTAGTCAATACAGGTACAGCCTTTTTTTGTACAGGATGCGATCATCGATTGTCGAAAGAGAAAACTGATGAAGACGAAGACCTCTGAACCATAACCAAACAAGATAATATCTGACAAGAAAAGTAGCTGGTACAAAATTTAGAAACAGGTGAAATTTGAACACCGCTAGCGCAAAACTTTGATTACTGATGACCGCGTGGGCATGGCACTCTGATTTGTGGTTGGGACAATTTTTGCATTTTGCGATCTTTCATCTCCTATAAAATAGCTGAAGACAAGACAAGACAAGACTGGTCAGTTGGGAGGAAACTTGGAAATCCCAGAGGCATCTCTTGCCCCACCACTGACATGTCGCGTTGATTTGTTAGTACACCGAAAACCTAACAGGGAGTTTAAGCAACCACGGCGGCAATGGTAACGAACAAGTCCAAAAAGCTAGAGTTATACTGACCAAAACAACAACTTTGCTCGGGCATCAAGATTTTTTTTGCACATTTCTTCGCCGTCACTGCACGACTAAAACGTGAGACTTTCCAATGTCACGTATAACAAAGGACATAAACAATAGACGACAAATTATTGCTTTCCATTTCTAACCTTTTAAAGTTTAGAGACGAAACTAAAAACTAAACTTAATTAAACTAAACTTATTCAAGTTTAGAGAGCACATTGAAATGTGCTCTCTAAAGATTCAACTCAAAGAAAACTCACGCACAACTGACTAACTGAACCAGTGGGAACTAACCGCCATAAATGAATACACTAAATAATTGACGTCCCTGCTGCCGTTGGTCTCGGTACTTTGGAGGCTTAAAACTACTACCTAAACCAATGCAACCTCAGGTTAGGCATAATAAAGTATTAGAAGCAATTAAAAGTGATGTCTTCTCCCACCTGTTGGCCCTGGCGTAAAATAAAGCAAGTAGATCATGTATACACAAATATCCTGACCAAGTATGACCGAAGAAAGGATAGGCTGCGTATAAAGAAAAGTAAGATTTCACTATAGATTCACTAGAAATATTCTTCAGCTACTGGGGAATAGTCAGAATAGCGAATTGTCCATGAATGTTTTGTACGTTCGTAGGAAAAAATCCTGGAAAACAAAATTTGTTCTGGGAAATATAAGGGACTTTATTTTGCTAACGTTTACAAAAACGAGGACCCGACGTTCAAGTTAGATCTAATTTTCATATTGAGAAGTGCAGTAGTATAGGAAACTATCTCTTTTATTTTGTTGTCGAGTATTAACAGAAAAACGTTCCCTTTTTTTCATTTGAAGTCAACGCGGCTTGGGTTCAAATGAGATATTTCCGCTTTCCAGGATGAGAAAAGGCCGTAAGGTCCTTGGGACGAGTTATAGCGCGAAATTCGAGAAACAACTAGAGCAAAGTTGGCCAAACACAAATTTATAACTTTCGAGCCTATCATAGCTTTACCAATTCTTATAGCTGCATCACTGGAGCTAAGTCGGACGATGCCATCCCGGCCGCCCTGTTGTAGAAGCTGCGGTAACCGGCTCCGAGTATTCACATGCATGTGGGCTTAAATTTAAATCGCGCTTACCTTTTGAAAAAAAAAGAGATCTACTAAGGTCTAAGAAAAGATAAGAGATTTACTGAGGATTTAGAGGTGAGGCTAAACGATCTCCTTTGAAGAGGCCCTTAGCTTTTTTATGTATCTTAGTATCAACTCAGTTAATTTTTAAGACAGTAAATGGCCTTCTTACTTCCTGGAAAAAAATCTTTACAAGCCACCAGTGATCGACCACCTGCGATTTTTGATGAGCTCTCAAGGAACTTCTACGAAGCACAAAAAAAAATGATAAGATGACTGAAGAGAATAGTTTCCATCCGTTAACTTTCATTTAAGGAATAGTGCAGTCAGGTTTGTTTTTCGTAGTCCATAAATACCTGTAGAGATCTGATAAAGGTCCTGCAATTTCTAAGCAGACAAGAAGTTGGATAGGAAACATATATTGAGGGTAAAGTGCGCACAGTCCCATTGCAAATCCTACCCTGCCACACCTGTGGAAACAGATATAAAATCATAAAATCATTCTTGAGAAATAGAGACGACAACGCGAACTTTTAAAACCCAAAAGATTTAGATCAGCAAGACTATAATAGTTTTTTACGTGCAGCATGCTTTTTTTGTTTATATCTTGGCCGTCACTGCACGCTACGACGTGAAATTACCAAATTTCACGTTTTATCGAGAACGTAAACAACCTAAGATGAATTTCTCTTTCGAAATAAAACTTCCGTTTTCTTCTCTTTTCTTTAAACGAGTTACTTTCTTTCTAGAAATTGTATTACAGTACTGTAGTTGTTGCTCATCACCAAACCTAGTTCCAAGGGTCTCTCTTCTTTCTGGAAACGAAGTTGGATTTTGCTTGTTACGTTCTACTGTCAGTTTAAAATTCTCATGCTTTTTTCCCAGCCAGTTAGAGGTAAAAGCCAAATTAACTGTTACTACTTCCTGCACGCTTTTATGAAGTTAGGGCCACAAATGCATTTCTCGTTCTGATCATATTATGATTAGCCGCGGTCGTTCGTTGTGGATTCACCGCACTTACCTGAACAACGTACTAATAAGTACTTTAGTCAGTATCAGTGTTTGTCAGTTAGTGTTTGTTGTTGTTGTTGTTTTTGCGAGCGAATACTTTACCTGATTCTCGTGGCGTTCATATTTTACGTTATGCCAAAATTCTATACTAAAGACCTCAATGGGGGCTTTTTGATTCCTTGTTTTGTTCCAATCTATATTGTTGTTGTACATTGGTTTCAGAGTTACCTTTCTAACCGACAACAGTGCGTTCGAATTGGTGACGCAGTTTCTAAAGTACTCCCACTTGAGTTCGGAGTTCCGCAAGGCTCTATTTTAGGTCCGGTTTTGTTTACAATCTATGTTAACGACCTCCTTTCTGTTCCTAAACGTTGTCTATCTGCCTCCTATGTTGATGATTGTAAATTGTATTTGTCCTTTTCACCTGCCGAATTACCCACGTCCATCCTCGCCTTAAACGAAGATCTTACGAGAATATCTCAGTGGTGCTGTAAAAACTCTCTTTTGATTAATCCGGACAAAACTAAGGTTCTAGCTGTTGGATTACCACAACTTTTAAAGAAACTGTCATCATTCAGTATAACACTTTTTGACAAGGAAATAACACCTGTGCCTGTCGTTAAGGACTTGGGTGTTCTTCTCGACACACGCCTCAGTTATAACCAACATATCACTGAGATTGCCTCTAAATGCCTTTTTAAATTGTACCAAATTAACAGAATCAAGCACCTCCTGGATAGGAAAACACTTCTGTTAGTAATAAATTCATTTGTCTTTAGTAAACTCCAATATTGTTCAACTGTCTGGAGTAATACCAGCAGCAGCAATATTGACAAGTTACAAAAAGTCCAAAACTTTGCTGGGCGAATTATTCTGGGACTAAGAAAGTATGACCATATTTCGGATGGGTTGCGATCATTGAAATGGCTTCCTATTAGAGAGAAACTCATTCTAAATGACGCTACTATGATGCACAAATGTATTAACAAGCTTGTTCCAGACTATCTTGCTGATATGTTTAAATCACGTTCTCAAGTCCATAATAGACAAACTCGATCATCTGGTGCTTTGGATATACCTTTATGTCGCCTGTCAACAGGGCAGCGCTCCTTTGCTTTCAGAGGAGCCAAACTCTGGAACTCCTTGAATGATAACATTAAGTCCTTAAAATGCCCCAGGAATTTTAGACGTCATCTTGCAAATGTTTTATTAAGTTGATATATTATATTATTGATATATATTTTGTAATTATAATATTATTGTATTTACATTCTCAATTAATTTATATATTTGTATTTTTTTTATTCTATTGAGCTGAAAAGCCCACTTAGGGAGCATCAATAAAGTGTATGTATGTATGTATGTATGTACATGCAATGTGGTGAAAATTACTACGCGCGCCGTGATTGATCGATGCCGTTGTCTATGATCTGTTAATGTTTAGAGTTCAGAAGTAGCACTTTTAGTTCGAGTTGTCTAAGTGTAACTTATACATTTTGATAGGGCCATATGCCGGATCAAGTGGTAAATATGTTACGTGAAAAAAGTTGAAAGTAATACAGATTTCATGAGCCAAAAAATACCTGTCAGTAGCAACATCGAGTAGTTCTCCAAATTTGGAACCTTGAAGCAAAAAGAATAAAAATTGAATTGATTATTTTCATAAAGTTACCAAGTAAATAATGCCTGTTTAACGTTCTTGTTGCCATGTCCGTCCTCGTTGTTTAAGCTTCCTGACAACCAATTACGGTACTTGACGATTCTTTGGAACAAGCCATTTTCACGATGACGACATTTGACTACAACTACCACTGCGGTTTAAAAAACAATAGCCCTAATCTCTAATTTGCAAAAACCGAAGGATTCTGGTAGTTCATAGTAAAAGACGTAATCGTGCAATTGTCCTATTAAACTCGAGCGGTATCTCTCTTTTACTCGACAAATTATTGAAGTCGGCCGTTCATTAAACTGGATAATTTTCTGAATATTTTGAATTGACTTTTTTATATAAGGGACGCGTTTTGCTGTCGTTTCTGTATCATGAGGTTCTCTCTAACTACTTTCTGCCCTTACATTGTTTGAAGTACCTTGCTGCGGCTCCATCGAATACATCCAATATGCCATTAGCAGTCAAATGAAGAGCTACAGTGACAAATGGATGACGCAGCATGAGGTAGAGGGCTGATAAATTAAGAATAACACGAAGGTAACCTAGAAAAAAGAAAGTTATTATCAGTACATGAAATTTATTTCTGAAAGAAATAAATGGTTTTATGCTTAATGTGACTGACTTTGTATGTCATTCCTCCAGCTGCCAGTAAGCGGGCGTTGCTGTCCGCCATCCGGGACATTATATGTGTGTTTTTAAGACGTGGAAGCGAGGAATAATATAAAAAAATAATTTCCCTCCACTCCCTCCCTTTTTGCTCCACCTTCATCTCCCGGATGGCTGGTGTGCCCACACCTTTACTGGGATGATTTTCTGGCGTATCTAGATTTTCCTAGCTTTACATGCTTGAATTAAATAAACGGCCACTCTTGTGGCCAAATTCATCCCAAACTGGAATTGCATTATTTGTATCCCAAGGACAAGGTGCTCATCCAAAGCGGGTCTACGCCAACCAAAAAAACTGACTCAATAATTGTTATATCTAAAGGAACATTGAAGCATGTTAAATATTACAAAAGGTGGTCTTTTTGCAAGAGCCAATATATTTAGCCCTAAGTACTAACTAAGGACAGTGTTAACACATCTCCTCGAGACAGGACCGCCATTTCATGGTCAGCAACATTCGAGGAGTCTGCTCCACAGCCGTTCATTGAGTCACGTTGCGTGACCACACAAAGAACAGCTGTGAAGCTCACTATTTAATTGAGCCACTCGAGGTTCTAGCCTTTTGCAATGCAAAAGTCAGCACATCTTCGTAATTTTTTTCAAGACCTTAGGTGATAAGTTTGGCTCCCGAGGGTTGGACCCGTTCGATCCACTTAACAGATCAGCACTCTTCAAGATATCCCTGTCGGAAGCAATGAAGGTCTACATCAAATTTTCTGAGGAAAATAAACTGCGATATGTTTCTAGATAAATTAAAAATTGATGGCCTTCCAATCGGAAGGCGCTTTCGGGTTCATACTCTGTCTCTAAAAATTATCCGATTTTGGGCCCATGAGGAAAGTTTATATGCTAGGTTTTTACGGCTTTCGTCTTGAGTTACACAGATCCAGAGCTCCGCATTCTGGATGCCAGACTGCGGTTTAAACTGGGATTAAAACGATAAAAGCAGGGGCAAAGCTTGACATTTTGTAGAGTACTATGAAGGTGTGGGAACCCCGCCTCCAAGATGATTTCGAAATAAAGATGCTCAAAGATTCCATTTCCAGTACAGCCACTTATCCACTGTATTCAAGTAAAAAAAAACTTTCACATTATAGGAAATCTCAGCGCTTCATGAAATTAACGCGAATTTCAAAAATTTGGCTTGGGCTGCTTTTATTGAATAATACAATTTAAGAAGTTGGAAGCGACAATTTTCAAACCGATGATAATGACGAACATCAAGGAACTAATTTGTATTATATTCATTCGGGCAACTACTAAATGTTTTCGAATAGTAAGGAATGCAAATTAGGGACTTTAAGCCGCAAGGACTACGGAACGGGCCAGGTCGAGTACGGAAGTAATTTTTCTCCAGCCACCAGTTAATGCCTCAAAAATAGGGAGTTTAGGATACCACAACAGCTACATGTATGGCGATAAATGCAGTAAGTGGGCGACTATGCAAGAGTATCTTGCAGACGAGTTAGCATCTGATTAAAAAGAGCGAGAAGAGCTTGAATTGTTTCGCTGGGAGAAGACGGCAGAGAAAAAAGTTAAAGGGGCGAAGAAGAAGGTTCGCATGCAGAAGCTGTATAAGAGATATCAGCCTTATATCAGCCTTTGGTACGCCTACTTTTTTCATCCGAGCGGTGCCAAAAATTTTCTACCGTGTAAAGGGGGCTTTTGTTCACTCTCTGGCTTGGTACTTGGAGCATAGACTCCTGTTCCTTGAAGGAGCCCGTCATTATTCCTTGCTATTTCACTTAGCGAAGAAATGTTGAGGATTTAAATTGGGCACCGAGATTTATACTCACCGATTAAGTTCGGCACATAGTAATAAACTTTCATCATTGGAAATTGAAACTTCTCCAGTTGCAGTCCAGTCCAGTTCTTTTATCTGAAAGAAAAACAAACAAATAAGCAAATAAATAAATAAATGAATGGAATGGAATGGAATGAATGAATAGAAGCTATGACGGTAGCCTATTTGAAGAAGTTTTCTTTTTACCTTGCATTCCACAAAAAAGACCATTTTTCTGGAACGGAACCAAACGGAGAGGCTCGTTTGTAGATTTGAGGCCCGAATGGATCGACAAGAAACGTTCTTTTCGAGCGCGGGCCCTCTTCTGATCCTAGATAGGGAGAGTTCCTCCATCCCACAACCAGTTACAGTGGAACCTCTCCTTTGGGACACCTCCTCCATTCAGGGAAGTCAGAAATTTGGTCCCGGAAAAATGTTCACATAATCTTTGTATTTGTTACCTCCAATGAAGGGACACCTCTATTCAGGGGAAAGCGACACTTTGTCTGGGTCCCAAAACCTGGGTTTTTTTCCATTAAGGGGACACCTTAGCAATAAACAAGTGACAGACCACAGAAATCGTCGATTCGTTTAAGTGTTCACTATAGTCACAATGGTGGCTTCAAAACAGGAATTAACTCACTTAAATCGATGTACTGCACTCGTGGGAATTCAACACACAACATCCCAGAGATACGTTAATCATGATTTTTTAGTTGCTTAAAATAATGACTGCAGCAGATTCCTTAGCCTGCGAGAGCAGACGCCTTTTTCGGCTCTTATAAAAATATTTTATCCGTTGGTCAACCCCCGCCCAACCTCCATACAGGGGACACTTAGTTCCTTGGTCCCAAGGGTGTTCCCTGAATAGAGGTTCCGCTGTACCTGATAGTCTGGCGCCGGGTGATGCAGTGAAGGAGAACTGAGGTTTGATTTGAATTGACAACGTTTTTATACAAGTTAAGAATTCAATACTGATTAATTTTAAGGTGTAATGACAACTGCAGACAGACAGATTACAAAAAACCGGTTATGTGAATGCCAGGGATAAAGATTATCGGAGAAGAGTACAATTACTGTCTGTAAGAGAAATAGCCAGGTGAGGAGCTTGCCGTTAATGGTTGGGTAAGCAGTTTCCAAAGCCGTGACTGCACCATTATGGCTAAAAACTGTTTATCAGAAACAGCAGAAAGTTGGTGCAAGGCAGTGGAAAAGCGAGACTCTCACTTAGAGAAGAATTTTGTTACTTCCGTACAATTTTCAAACTACTGGCTTCGATGGGAGTTTGACCATGTATAAAAGTATAATAACATTATGGCTTCATGTATTTGTCTGACTTGATGAATCACACAACACTGCATATTAGTGGCAAAACTCACTTATTATTTATGTACACAAAAATTCGGTACGACAGAAAGAAATGCACTACTTAGAAAGGGAGTAGGTCCACTTGAATTCATATTTCGAGCTCTACTTTTTCTCGAGAAAAAAATCATGAATTTGGTTATAGTTTTACAGTTAGATACGACACAAGTTGAGCCCCCACCCCTCCCTATCTTGAACAATTACATATTTTTCACATGATTATTTGATGGCGTGACAGTGAAGAGTCAACGAGCATTTTTGGTGCAGCCTGCGAAAACAGCCGTTTCCCCTCGCTCCTCGCCGCTGGGGACGTTTTGCAAGCAGAAACGCCTGCGACTCAGCCACAGAAATTCCATACTGATGACGTAAAATCTGTCCGCAATCTGGTCAGAAGCGCTGATTGGTTGGCTGAGTAGTTACATTGTTTCAGCTGTGGTTTATGAATGACAGACAAAAGGCCACAAAGGTCAAATGTAAACGCGATGAATCTCTAACGAAACAGGCAATATGTGTGGAATATAGTCCCGGGGGGGGGGGCACTTGGGTATTTTTTGGGTGGGTATGTGCCGCCCGGGACTCCAAATTGGCACCCCATTCTAAAAAAACTTTCCCCTAAAATTGATACCCCGTTCTAGAAATAGGCCAATTTTTTATACTCCGTTCTAGAATTCGCTCTAAAACTGATACCCCGTTCTAGAAATGGGCCAATTTTTTATACTCGGTTCTAGAAAGTTTGTAAATCGAAATAGCCCTGTTTTTTTAAAAAAGATATTTCTTTATTTGTTCGACTTATACATCAAATAAATGCTTCTTCATAATCAGCAACAATTTTAAGCAGAAGATAAAGCCGTGATCCACAATTTTTTCTACCCCGTTCTAGAAAACGCCTCTGAAATGGATACCCCGTTCTAAATCAGGAGCTTCAAAATCACGACCCCGTTGGGCGGCACATACCCGTATAGGTAATGTATGGGAGTGCCCCCCCCCCCCGGGAATATAGTCTCCTACAGAAGAAGCATTTAAGTTTTGCTGGAGCGCGTTCGAAGATTAACACAACACTTAGCCAAAAATCGGGATTATTTAAGACAGATGTCTTTCTTACGCATTATTTTTCCTTGGCGGTTTCATCTGCGAGAATTTATTCACCGTTTTCAAAAGTTTATATACGTGGAGCCTCCAATTCGCTTTATAGAACGCGGCACAATTTTTACAACATATATTTCTTACCAGCGTTGTTCAATGTCTCTTTTTTTAACTTTTATCTCTTCATTGTGCCTCTGACGGGTATGTTCGAGAGACCTGATGGCCGAGGCGAAAAAGGGACGATTTAAAGCTTCTCACAGATGACTCTCTTTTGTGACAAAGAGTACACTTGCGTTATCTCCGCCCGCATGCAAATTAAACTAGACTCGCCGAAAGGCGATTTTATCTAGGCTGCCATAATACTGAAAAGCCGCCCAAATCGCCCTTTCTCCGATTTGCCTTAGTACTCTATGTCTCTCAATTTTGTATTTGAAGCTCCCAGCTAAGCTTTGCGTTCTCGAAGCTTCGCTGCTGATTAGCCCTCTCGCCAATGAGGCTGTGAAATGAACTTGTGTGCGAAATTCTCAAAGTTGCTGATTTCGTCGGACGAGTCTTCTATATCCTAATCCGAAATTTAGAAATCCAAAGAGGCGTGTCAGAGAAAGAAATCACTGATCTTGAAACGGATCACGTAACGCCCTCTGGGTTACTGGATTAATCATTGATAGTATTCATTTTTTGACGGAGAAATCGAAGGTATGTTATAAACTGGGCACAGACAGCCCAGTTAAAAAACAGCTGAGCCGAGAGTCGAACCCGGACCATCTGCCAGGAAGGCCAGCTTTTAGACCACTGCTCCACGGTACCAAGGGCAACGTTTAGTGGGAAAATTAATATATTTGAAAGTATTTTCCTGTGAAGCTCTGCCGATAGACTCTGTTTGAAGCTGGTGGAGTTGTATTTTTCATGGCCTTCAAAGACATATTTGAGGAAAATCAGAGATAATTATTTGTTGTTGCCGTTAACTTTCCGCCACCCTTTTCCCCACAAGTTTCTCTTGGATTGCTTTGCTCGATTTTGAGAAAGAAGTATTCTATTAACCTACGTTCAGTTGCTTTAGTTACCATTTTTGTGTGCAATTTGGTCCACGCCCACAAATTTCACGGTAGTTTAGAAACCGCTTGATAATTTTTCTTACGAAATTGACAATTCCGCGATTAATAGCCTGTGTTGCAGCCGAGCCACGCATTCGTCTAAACCATTTATATACATGTATAGTCCATACACAGAAGGTTTAGAGCGTCTGCGAGGCAGGCAAGAACGTAATGATCAGTTTACATTGCCTCCAAGTTTCAAGGACATTGAAAGCAAGGAAGGCAATGCAATTGGGCTTCCAATGTCACAAATTTTCCCCCAGATTTTATGTTTGCAAAGTGGGCATCCTCACGTTTTAAAGTTAGGGAGCTTAAGCAACTACCACGGCGACGACGAAGACAACTTTAAGAAACAATAGATTTAATGATCATAACAACAGCTCTGCACGTGCATCACGCTTTAAGCACATTTCTTTGACGTCCACTGCACGACTGTTGACGGCACAAATGTAATAACTGGTCACAAATGTAATAAAGGTCACAAGTGTAATAACATTTGGTCGCAATTGTAATAAACATCTAAACTAAGCTAAAACAAATGAAAATCACAACGAAATCTAAAATCCCACAGAGGACATTCTCTCCTACGCTTTTACATCACACTGTGCACGAGTTAAAATTTTCAAAAATTTAAAAAATTTTCGAAGATATCACATCAAATCAAAGGTGAGCTGAACAGCTAAAATGTCACAGGAAATTGTATGGGTAAACTCTTTCCTTAGGGGAAATCACGCGGAGTACGTGACTGAGTGGGAACCAAGATTGGGAGACTTTTATACACTCATGCCAAACCTAACAATATAAAGGATCCAAAAACACGTTCTGACGACTCAACAACGGAAAGGTCATAGTCAACGGGAAGCGAGTAAAGAGAGTTGGTGTAGAATTGGCCTTGAGGTTCCTTGTGTGTATCAGGCAAAGGTAAAGAGGATGAAGGTTATGTTCTCAGAATTGACGGGGGCACGAAACAACTTTGCAGAAGTAAGGGGGATAAAGTAAGGGAAGGTATAAGTCGCGCGGCAAAAAATGACGAGCTACAGAATGGAGTAGGATCAGGATACACAGGGCAACTTTTAAACAACGATGTGCTTGAAAGTATCATTTAGATTACCTTAAAGTCCTTTCCGTTCATGAGAACATCCCTGCGAGGTGTAAATACCTTCTTCAGAGAAACAGTAGACAAGACGCCTTGCCCTACGGTATACATTCCAGAACTTGCAGAAAAAACAGTCGTCATAAGCATAAGGAAACTAGTAATGCTGAAGGGGAGATGCAGTAGTGCTGTTGAACGCCTTCGGGCAGTTATTAAATCCCCTAAATGGTATCATGCATGGGTGAGGTTAGTTCCT